ATATAAGGAAACTCCCATAAGGTTATCAGCTGATTTTTCAGCATGAACTACAGACCAGAAGGGAGTGGCATGATATATTTAAAGTGAGGAAAGGGAAAACTTACAACCAAGGATACTCTATCCAGCAAGGCTGTCATTCAGATTTGATGGAGAAATCAAAAGCGTCACAGATAAACAAAAACTAAAAGAATTCAGTACCACCAAACCAGCTTTACAACAAATGTTAAGGGAATTTCTCTAGCCATCAGACCACAAGAAAAGAGACCAAAAAGAAGAGAAAAAAAGAAGACTTACAAAACAAACCCAAAACAGTTAACAAAATGGCAATAAAAAGATAGGTATTGATAATTACTTTAAATGTAAATGGATTAAATGCTTCAACCAAAAGACATAGACTGAATGGATACAAAAATAAGACCCATATATATGCTGTCTATTAAGAAGATGTGGGGCATATATGTGTGTATGTGTATATATGTATGTAATAATGGAATACTACTCAGCCATAAAAAAGAATAAAATAATGACATTAGCAGCAACATGAATGGACCTGGAGATTGTCATTCTAAGTGAGGTAAATGAGAAAAAGAGAAATACTACATGATATTACTTATATGTGGAATCTAAAAAAAAAGGACACAAATGAACTTACCTATAAAACAGAAACAGACTCACAGACATAGAGAACAAGCTTATGGTTACCAGGGTGTAAAAGGAGTGGGAAGGAGTAAGTTGGGAATTCGAAATTTGCACCTCTTGGGGAGTGATGGAAACATTAGCTATCTTGATTGTGAGTGGTTTCATTGGTGTATACATCTGTCAAAATTTATCAAATTGTACATCTGAAATATGTGTAGTTAACTGTACAGAAAACATACCATAATAAAAGTGTTTAAAAAAATAAGCTAGTAGCTTAGTTGAATAATATGTCAACACAGTAGCAATGGTGTTGAATACTCTGAACAGAATGCATCATAAATGCCAAATAGCAATACTAAATAAAAAACTACACGATATTCTTGTTATTCATTGATCATCTCAGCCATTCACTATTTAATAAGCACTGCAGGGTGCATGTCTGTGTGTGAGGCACTGTCTCTTCAGTTCAAGGCATTTCAGAAAGAAGGAAATACTTCTCTAATAGAAGTATTAGAGAAGATTACTAAATTGAAATTAAATACTTCTTATAATCTTGAAATAAACTTAATGCGCTTCTTCTATAACTCCCTTTTTGAAGGCATTTATCCAGTTTCCCAGACTACAAGGGAGAAAGCAATCCAAATAAACTTCTAGAGGAAAGCAGATCTATGTAAAACTTTGGTTAGGGGGGAGGAAAAGAAGTATCTGGGAACGGCCAGTCCTGGTCCTTGCCGGCCAGATTGTGCTCCTAAGAGTACTGCTGTTTCCTATTGCTTTCCCATTCTGCTGTATGTGTGGGGTTTTTTTAATTGAAGTAAAGTTGATTTACAGTATTATATTAGTTTAGGTTGTTGTGTTTCTTAGCCACTCTCAAACTCACACAGGAAAGCCCCAAAACCACAGCAGATGTCCCAGTGTGCCAGCTTTGAGTCATGAGCACGAGCCTAGAGGGGACATGGAACATGCTCCCAAAAACAGACTTACGCACATTATTATTTGTCAGATATGCGCCAAAATTCTTTCCAGTTCTGTTTAACATCAAAGAAAAGGGTAAAGAGAAATAGTAAAAAGAAGTATTTTTGCTTCCATTCAGTTTCCTCGCCTACTGGGTAAAATGAAGGCATGTTTCTGCATAGTTTAAATTGCCTTTTCTCCATCCCACTTCCTTTCCTTGGCGGTGGTCCTAATATGTGGTTGGCTCGTGTTGTCTGATACCGTAGAGCAGTTAACACTTAATAAATGCTTGCTAACGATGATGTTAGGTAACCGTATAGGAACTACTGTATGGTTGTGCCTAGGTGGCTCTACATTTTCCTTGAAAGTCTAATGGTTGATCCATTCCATTTGATCAAAATTAATATTCCTGAAGTTATCCAGGAGTTTGGTTAGTTTATTTTTAGTTCAGGTGAGTAACATTCACAGCCTTTAAAAATAAGTCTGAGGTTTTTTTTCCCTTTTGAATTGAATTTTTCCAGGGTGAAGTTTTAAATAGCAGATCCTTCATATTAAATCATTGAACTCCAGTATTAACTGAAAAGTTATAAAGTGACTCTAAATCTTACCATGCTAATAATGGCAATATATCAGTTTTCTAGACTAAAAGTTAACATAGTAATTTGCAAATTCCTCAGCAAGGGCAACTTCCCTTTTGCCTTTAAAATGTTTTGATCATTGTTTTTATTTCAGAAATCTTAAAATGATACAAAATGTTTAGTTAGGCCTTTTAAAAATATTCTTGTTATAAAGAATACTAGTTTTCATGTTACAGTTCTCTGAGTTACCTTTGGCCTTTTATTGTTCTGTTTTTTTAACAGAAATTAAAATCTAAATCTTCAGGTAACACGTCTGTCAGAGCTTCCATCCGAGGTCTTGGTAAGAGGTAAGTTGGAATTGCTTTGGTGAATTATACACACTAGTGAGCGTGGTCTAGTAGATTTTGTTGCCGTTTAACAACATTGAACAACAAAGCAGGAGAAAGACCAATAGCAGTATTTTCAGTGTTCTTATGGTCTGTGACCCCTTAGTGTAAAGGAACTTGAACGAGAGGTTATTGCTATTGTAAATAATTTTCTGCAACATAAAAAAAAAGTGTGAACAGTTTCTCAAAATTAATGTTCTGTTATATTCTTCAGTGTTTACTTTGTCCCTTACACTATTTGGCAAACACGTTTTTCTGTGACTCATTTTAACTCCTTGAGTGTTCCTGAATTCTACAGGTTATGTCCAATAAAGCACTGATCCTGGAATAAATACATCTTCCTTGGAATAGCTGGCTTGCTCAGGAAAATATATAATTTGATTACAAGAATATAGAGTCATTGAGCCCAATTAACTTCTCAAGTTTCTTTTCTGTTCTAATTTTATTTTCCTCCCATCTGTTGAACGTGTCTAGTTGCAGCCCAGTGTACCTTGGTGGAAGCGCTGTTCCATGTGGGATTGGAACAAATACTTCACAGAGGTGAGATGTCAGAACTACATTTTACTTTCCTATTAGGTTTTTCCAAATTGATACCCTGTTAAAACATAATTCTTATCATCTTGGCATCAGTCTGTTGCGTAGAGAAAGGTGTATTTTATAAGCCAATCTAAGAACACTTTACCAAAGTGGTTATTATTCTTGGGTGAAAGCTTTTGAAGGCTGTGACAGTGGGTATGTGTCATTCATTGTGTTGACACTTTTCTAAGCTCCGCTTGAAGTGCCTGGATCACTTCCATCCCAGCTTGGTTTCCAGAGGACACCAGGAGAGTGAGCTTCCACCTTGTCATTTTTCCTTCCAGGCAGTAGAAGGCAATGAGTCAGGCAGGTGACCAGTGCAGCCATGCAGCCACATGATGCGTTACCGCACTGCCTTGGCCGGTCAGCACGCAAAGCTGCTGATCTGTAGGACCAGAGAGTTCTTAAGCATAGTCGCTTGATTTTACATATTTCAAAAGCAGAAACCCTCCTTTTGCTGTCACTTCCCCAACCCTCCTTTCACCCAGTATCTCCCTCAGTACATCCTTTCAGGGCAGTCCTATGGTCCTGATGCCGCCTACCCCAAGTGCATACCAGCCTCAGACTCCTAGCATATTCCATTCTCATTGTCATTAAGTGGGGAAAGAGATTGGTTTTAAACAAACCAATAATGTCCTGATACTTCTGGCTCTATTTTTACAGAGGCCTACTTAAATAGATTATTATATTTTTGTCTAGTTATTTCTAAAACACTTTTTCATTTTCTGATTTTTTAAAATATTTATCTATTATTATATTATTTAATTATTTCATTGGGGGGTGGTAATTAGGTTTGTTTACTTTTAGAGGAGGTGGTGGGGCTAGGACCCAGGACCTCGCGCATGCTAAGCATGCAGCTCTACGACTGAGCTATACCCTCCCCCCATGGTAATTTTTTAAGAAAGAAGAAGACTGAGCTATATGATTGGATGTTGACCACATTTCAGGAGAGACAGCTGTTGTACTAAATAATAGAAATGGGATCTAAAAAGACACAAACTGCCCTTAAAGACAAGTACAGCCTGGTTGCTGTCAGTCCCGGCTGACCTGTGTCAGCCCAGTCGGATTTGTCTCAGTCGTTGCCAGACCACTCTGCCTCGAATCCTGGCTTGTCTCCAGTCACCCTTGAACTCCAGCAGCGGTCCCCCAGTTACCATCCACTTCCACCTTCTGTAGTCTCACCCACTTAGGGGTATTAAAGATAATACCCCTAATGTATTATTTTGAGCACCCCCACCCCGTTCAAACAGAAGGAAAACGAGAGTTGCCATCTGCCTCATGTTAACTCTGAACTCCTCGTTTAATGCTTCACCAGTTTATCCTTGTTCTTTCCCTTCTCTTAGTTCTTTGACCTGCAGTTAGACCTGGCTCAGATGCACTGCTTCCACTACAGCCCTTATTACCCTTCTACTTCCCACTTGTATTTTTCTGCCTCTGAATATTTTTACATTTATTCCTTGTCTAGAATGACACCCCTTTCTAATGCATGTCCCCACTGTCTTACCTCTTAATTCACTTACTGCAGATTCATTTTCTCATTCTATTTGAACTTCCTTTTTCTTTTATTTTTCTAATGTTCACTGAATGCCCACTGTGTCTTAAGGACTAGATGCCAAAAAAAGATAAAACAACTGACCAGTAGAGAAACCGATAAAGAAGCAAATGATTGTACCCAGGACATGAAAAGAAAAGGCTCTGATGACAGAATCCGTAAATTCGGATATTCACTCCACCTCTTATCAGCTGTGAAGCCTTGAAGAGGGATATGATCTTACAAAACCTCAGTTTCCTCACCCATAAAAACTAAACATACTTTATGGAGCTATTGTAAGGGTTAAATGAAATAATGCATTAAAATCATGCCTGTGTTGAAAAGACAGCTGGCTACCGTCGTCGGTACACTAGTTTATCATTATTCGTGGACCTTTCTCCTCTGTTAGCGATGCCTTCTCACATGTTATACCTCAGCTGCAAGAATCCTGTATTCTACTTTTCCATTTTATCTCAGGAAACACCTATGTGTTTACTAACAGGTGCCTTCTGATTTTAAAAATGGTCTTTAAGACAATATGTTCTGTTTTACTACCAAAGAGTGAATGTTAAGCTCTTCTTTTACACAGCATATTTTCTCATGTACTTTGATATAATTCTAGCATGGAAGGGTCTTGTTGTAGATGGAATTGCAGTATGTGTCCTATCATATAATATTGGTCCATGAGAATGCCAAAATCTATCAAACCCCATTCCTACCTTCTGCAGAGACAAGAAGGGAACACACATGGAATTTGCATATATGCACGGGTAAATGTTCACAGATCTTTTCTTCTTCACCTGTCACAAGGATACTAGTCATCACCTATCCTCTTCATGATAAAGATCAGCACCCACAGAAAGATAAACACATATATGTTCATGTGCATGTAAAATACTGCATATGTGAAGTACTTCATACTACCCAGAGCATATGTATATGTGTATGTATATTGGTTCACCAGCTTCACAGGAGAAAACAAGATGCAGATAGAGCAAGAATTTTTAAGCCCATGTTACATATAATTGAGGAAATTGAGGTCCTAGTGTTAAATTCATCAATCACACACTAATTAACCATGTGCATGCTAAGTCCTAGGTTTTGAGTGAACACATAAATAAGACACTTCCCTCCCCTCAGTGAGCTTTCAGTACAGATGAGGAGAAAGACTTTAATTCCACAAATAACTATTTAGTTTCCACAGGATATGTAATGTGAAGGGCAAGTACAGGATACTGTAAGCATAGATAGTTGGCATCCTAACCAATATGAACGGTTAGGGAATGCTTTCCTAAGCAAATAACACTTAATCAGATTATGATATGATAAATAAAGAGGAATTAAGCAGAGAGGAGACCACTGGAGCCGGAGGACATACCATGTTAGATGACCCCTGAGCTCAAAGGAGCCAGGGTGTGGAGGAGCAGAGAGCAGCCAGGTGAGCTGGAGTATAGTGATGGGGAAGGAATGGCTCCCGATGGGGCTGGAGAGGTAGTCAAGGGACATTTGGTTTGGAGTCCCTTGGAGACTTTTAGAAAAAGTATGTTCTATATGCAGTGGAAGACAATGGGTTGGCTTTTTTTTTTTAAGCAAATAGGGGTGACAAAATCCTATTTGTGTTTCTAAAGAAGGCCATTTTGCTTCCTGAATAGAACATAGATTGGAAATTTGAGGGGCAAAATAGGAGAGAACACAGGCAGACCAGTCAACAAGTGGTAGTTACCAGTGGTCCAGGAAAGAGACGACGATGGCAGCTGTGACCTGAGTGGTGGCAGCAACTGTAGAGAAAAGGTGTGACACTTGAGATATTTAGAATACAAGATTCACAGAATTCAGTGATTAAATGGCTGCTGGAGGTAAGAGAGAAAGTTGTCAAGAATGACTCCCAAGTGATGTGCCTTGCCCAAGTCAAGGACTCTAGTGTGTAACTTGAGTCCTAGTCCGTTGTGCTTTCTAGTTTACCAATTTGCAGATCATGTAACGTATATAAGAGGGAAGGATCTTAGCTGCTTTTGCTGTTGTAACTACTGTTATTTTCCAACTCCCCAAACAGCCAGACTCCCTAGTGCGCTGTATAGATCTGACAGAGTTTAACTGAGAACCAAGGAGTCTGTGTAGAAGACTGTATTGGGCTGTACTCTGGGCATTCCTACCATAAACATCTTTAAAACAGGAAAGATTTTTTACTACTATCCAGATAAAAAGACAAAGCTGTTGGTGACACCTTCATGTTTGTATTTTCTCCACATTTTAGAGGAAAGTTCTGACTTTCATGGTAATCATGACTTTATATTAGGCATATTTTTAATATATATTTTATAGAAGAAAAATTTATTTAAGCCCTGAAAATAAGCACTGATTTACATGCCCAGGGCATAAAGGAAATTGAGTCTGTCCTGCTGTTTTCATGTGTTATATTTGTTTGATTCCTGAATAAAGCTCTGTTTCGAGAGTAATCCCGAATGATTTTAGACGTAAGGATTTGAGTCTTTTACCCATTTTGTGGAAAGGAGAAAGAGTAGTAGCAGGAAGCTTGGTAGCGTTAAAAAGGTACAGATAAAACCAAGGCATTGTTTTCAAGCCAAGTTGAATTTTACTCTCCTAATTATTTTTTAAACTACTTGCAAGACTGGATTATTCCATAGACTGGTACTAATTATGATCTAATAGAGTGAATCGTAGCAGCAGAATGATTTCTTAGCTGCAAGTCAGTTTTATTTTTCTCAAAGGACAGTGTTTGTAGGAAAATGTGGTAGTGTGAATGGATTTGAATAAACTACTAAATTTTAAATTAAATTAAAAAGCTGTATTTAACATTATGGTTGAAATTTTACACATACAAAATGTCAGGAAATTCTAAATTATAGTTCCCACCACAGCAGTAATTCAGCCAAATTGCACATATGTATTAAGGCATTAAAGTTAACACCCTGTGCAATCATGTAATAAACTACATATACATAAGAAAGCAAGTTATGGCAGCTTTGGGAACCATCATTGTACATTTCCTGACTTGTACATTCAAAATCCAAGTTCAAGTGTGTACATATGTAATTGTGTTGAATTCGTATGTACAAATACAACTTCATAAATTGCTAACAGTTTAAAAGAAAATATGGAATTGCTTAGGAAACTTGTATAGATTTTAAACGTTTAGTTATTGTTGTGATTAATATTTTTAGAAATATAAAGCATTTATCCTTAAACTTTCAGGCTAGTATATTTGCAATTTCAAAGTTAACGTAGCTGAATTTTAGAGGGAAATAAGAAAAAAAATCTAATAATGGGTTTTATTTTTTAATTGCAGAAGTATTATATGCTTATTGAAAAAGATTAAAACAAAAGTGAAAAATGTTTAAGGAGGAAGATCATACTCTCCTTCCCTCCTCTGCATTCCCACCCCTCCTGAGGTGGCTAGTGTTAGCCACGTGGCATTTCCGTCCATGTTTTTTCCCATGTTCTTACAAACTTAAAAACACCTATACAGGAAATTTTTTTCAATAGTTGTTACTACTAAGTATAGGATCATACTACATATATTACTGTGTATCTGCTTTGTGCACGTCTAGGTCAGTAGATAAATCTAATTAACTCTCTTTATCAACTGCCTAATATTCCATGGTTTAAATACACTGCATGTTTTTCAGTCTTTTTCCTTTTTGATTGCTATCCAGGTGGTTTCATGTTTTTTGCCCCTTCAACAATACTACAGTAGAAATTCTTGAGAGGTATGCCTATATTATGGTGCTTTTATTTGTATGTAACAGATTTCCCACACTGGGCTTCCTAGTGCAGCAGCTAGGTGCAATTATAATTTTAAAATAATGCCAAGATTTTTCCCAAAAGATTATAGCAGTTCACATGCCTACCAGACATGTCTGAGAGCGCTAATTGTTGCCAAGTTAATTGGTTTAAATACATATTTCATGGTTGCTTTACATTTTAATTCTTTAGTAATATTTTAACTTCCTAACAAATGCTTTGTGCCAGGCACTATTATAAGCGCTTTATCAATATTAACTCGGTTGGCTCCTTATAATAATCCTGTGAGGTGTGTAAATATTATTATCCCCATGTTACAGATGGGGAAACTGAGCCACAGAAAAGTTCAATGACTTAACTATAGTTACACAGCTAGTGAATAGTGGAATCAGCGTTTGAACCTAGCCAGTCTCATCTGTGCTCCTAACTGCTAATCTGTGCTGCCTGTAGTAGTAAGACTGAGTATGTTTTTAGGGTTTTTTCTTTGTTGTCATTGGTAAGCACTCTCTCTTTAAGTATTTGACCATGTGTTGAAAATGTTTTCTTTTACCTTATTACTGATCTATTCACTTTGTTTTTGGTATCTTAAAAACTTATTTCCTTCTAATTTTTAGATGATCAAATGTATGTATGTTAATAATAGCTTTTAAATACTTCGAACAATGGAGATTTCTTTAAAGTAAGTCACGGTTATTATACAAATCAAATTGTTTCCAGCAGCAGTTCGTAACTTACTCTATACTGTTATTTTACTCCTAAAGTTACTATGTAGCATGTGAATCTTGAGATTGGCATTTCAATTCCTCAGGGAGTCACTGAGTACCTGTTATGTGCCGAGTATGTTCTAGAAGCCCTGCCCTCTCTCCTCAGCAGCATTATGCTCTTCACAGCATCTTTGCCATCAACATACAAACATGCTCTTTTTCCTTCCTTCTTAAATATAACCTCCCCTAACCCCACTTCCCTTACCAACTACCACTCCATTTAAAGAAACTGCTTAGGTGAACTTCCTCAGTGAGGCCTTTAAAATTACAACCCACTTCCTCCCAGTGCTTCTGATTTTATTCACTCTACTTTTTATTTCACTTGAAGCATTTTTTACCTTCTAACATACTATATCATTTAGTTATTATGTGTATTGTTTATTTCTTCTCTCATTAGAATCTAAGTTCTGTGAGGACAGACTCTCACCAGCACATAGTAGGCTTTCAGTAAATATTTTTTAAATGAGTGAATGAATACATGTATGCCAAGTAGTAGGGAAACAGAAACAAACAAGATACTGTCCCAGCACTTAAGTGGCTTATGGGAGAAACAGATTCATTTCAGTAAAATATAGCAAATTCTAATAGAGGCGCCCTGAGAATTTCATTAGGAAGGGAAGCATTTAAGAAAGTTGGCTTAAGTGAAGATCTCCCTCAGACACAATTTGAAAACCATTGAAGAATGTATCTGACGATACAGTCACATTTTCAAATAAAAATTAAGGGCTAAAAATTAGGAAAGTATGTATTTCATGCATTTTGGGCTCCCAAAATCTGTGCCCCAAGAAAAACTACACATCATTTTTTTCTTTTATGTCTAAATATACATGTATGCATGTATGTATCAGTGTGCAAGATCTTAGTAAAATAGGTAGGTTTATGCAGAAATTTAACCTGAAAGTTCAAATAGATCATCTGTCCTTTACTATAAAAATTTATAGTCAGATTCATCTTTGCTTTCCTTTGGTTTCCTCAGTAACCTGTAACACGCGGTGTATTCTGTGAGTAAATCAGCACGTTCCCATGTGTAAACACCGGTGATTTCTAACGCACAGGGCTTTTTCTCTGACCAGAGCGTGTGACCGTTTGCGTTGTGTGGCCTGCGACTTCTGGGTAGTAAGCTACGATGACCGCAGGTGGGACGGATCGTGCGATTACCTGTTTTTCAGGTATGTTTCTAAAGAACTTCAGTCTGTGAAAAAAAATGTACTTGTTACAACTTTGTATTTCTTAGTGAGCTGTAATGTCTCTTGCTGGACTTGGCCAGATTCTGTGGTCTCCATCTCTCTGCTGTCAGCCTGGTTAAGGATGTGTTACTTCTGGGCAAAGTACAGAGTAGCCTCCTCACTGATTTTCCTGCCTACAGTCTCTTCTTTCAGGCCACCCTTCCGTTGCTGTGAATTAAAGCATAACTCTGAGTATGCCATTCTCCTGCCCAAAACCTTTCTGCTTACAGTACGATGTCCAAACTCCTTAGCATGGCATTCAAGACCCTCCAAGATCCAGTCCCCATCTACTTGCCAGCCAGCTTTGTCTGGTCTTTCTACCTTTGCAAGGTTTTAGCTACGCCAAAGCACTCAGTGCTCCCCTTCCCTATGACTTTGTGCAAACTCTCCACCTCTCAGGGTACCTTCCCACCGTTTTATCTCCCTAAACCTTATCTGTCCCTCAGGGGACAATGCATTGTGCATCTTCCATGATTCCCTTACCACTGTCTCAACCTGGAAGTGGACTCATCCTTTCCCGTGTGTCCACAGCACCTGTACCTGTGACAGCACTTACTGTAATAGAAGGTGAAAACCTTAGGTTGCTATGTGTCTGCCTCCCTCCTTGTGGCTGGGATACCGTCTTACTCATATTTTTGTAATTTGTGCATTGTAGACGTTCACCTAAAGTTTTTAAATTATAAAAATATATTTGAACTATACATTCACACTTTCAAATAAAAATTAAGGGCTAAAAATTAGTGAAGTACATATATCATGCATTTTGGGCCCCCCAAATCTGTACCTAAAAAAAGACTATTTTCAGATACAACTAATCAGAATTATTGCAGCACTCTTCAATAACATAAAGAAAAGGGTGAGAGGCTTTTTTCACACCTCTTCTGGAAGCCTCACGTAAATCTAGTTTCCTCTACTGTTAATATAAAAGGTTTTCAACTTTTCATGTTAACTGCTCTGAAAAATCTTATGAAAACTTTAAATCCTCTCCACACACACAGAAAATTTCAAATATGCAAATACATAGAAAAATTACAATTTGAGTGGTTTCATAGACCCCAACCCAAATAAAACCTATTACAGTCCCAAAATCCCAGATCAGGAGCTCCTAGTCTCTGGGTTTGTGTTAGCCCACTTTTTAATCCTATAGTGGGAAAAGTTAACTTTTAATTTCAGGTCTATTTTGCCTTTTCTGACTTCTCTAAATCCTCTGCTATATATTTTCTTCTGTTTAATCTAATGAGTGATCAATAACCACATATGCCACCAAGATGAAACATCAATTTTTGTAAAACTAGTACAAGATGATAGAATGTACACACCATCAAAACTGTGGTGAGCACAGGCGTGAAGTGAGCTTATTGGTGATTCAGTTGGTACTTGAGGGACCTCAGTGTTACCAACAACATTGGTTGGTTTGCTCTAGATCGATAGCAGCCCGGTCTAAAAAAATACATACTTTCAGATAAAATAATGAGAACTAGAATATTCAATACACTATTAAAAATAAGTGGCGGTATTTATTGTTACTTGTTTTACACAATATACTGAAGACGATATTAATAACAGTGAGTAATTATTTAAGTCAGTAGAAAATACCATCTCAGGGCCTGTGATGCTTAGGAGTATTGAGGGGGAGAGAATGGAACCAGCAAAAAGGTTCACCGTCAGGATAGAAATCATTGATGTGATTTTTTGTAGAGTTTATTAGCATTTTTTTTCAAATCAGACACTATTTAGTACATAGTCTGTGGCATTGTTAGGTACTGGGCTCACAAGACGAAAAGAACTCAATATCTGCTCTCAACTAACGCACAGCTCTGAGAAGCAGAGCCATCCTGTTACGCTGCGATCAGTGTGGTGGAGGAGTAAGTACCACGGGACAAGGCGGAGCCACCTCGCCCTGAGGTGGCAGGGGAGGCCGGTCTTCAAGAGTGAACAGGAGTCTGCCTGGCAAACCAGATGGACACTGGTATTCTTTTAGGCACAGGTGAAACCACATGGCATGTTTGGCAACTGAACAGGCAGTTTGGACTGTGTGAAGTTTTGGATACAAGAGAGGAACTTGGCAAGAGGTGAAGTAAGAGAGAAAAATCAAAAAGAGTAGAGCCAAGGAAGCAGTACTGAGGAGTCTGGACTTGATTCTTCAGGCAGTGGGTGACCATCGAAGGGTTTTAATCAGGGGAGAGATCTGAATAGTTGCATTTTTTAGAAGATTACTAACTACTTATGGGAACCAGTCCTGTTTAGAATCATGGGAATTGGTGAAGGATGTTGCAACCCAGTGGGAAAGAAATAAAGATCTGAATTACAGCAGTGAGGAATGTAGACAGGAGTAAATGTGTTTGAGAGAGATTTTAGAGGCAGTCCTGAATGGAAGCTGAGTGACATGTATCACCCAAGATAATCCTGGACTTCTCTCTTAATTTACAAAGATGGGCCATGATACTGTCCTAGATGGAATTTAAGAACAGATTTGAAGGAAGAGTCTGTGTTCATTGTGGGAGCTGTTGAACCTGTGGCTCCGAAGCTCAGGTAGGAAATATAATCTGGAAAATGGTAGTTGAAGCCATGAAACTGGATGATAACCCAGGAAAGTGACTTGGAAGCCTTTCGGTGAATGCAGAGTTAAAGGACCACTTAGTTAAAATGGGAGATGCTTTGATGTTTATATTGTGGGGGGTAAGGAAGACATGGGAAGGGGAGGTTATGTGAGTAACAAGGTCCTAGAGGCTTTGGGTCCAGAGTGCTGAAGGAAAGTGAGGCTTGGTTAGGAAGAGGAGGGCCTCCTCTGTGTGTGGGTGGAAGGAGGTCAGATACTGATGTCATGTGTTCAGGAGGAGAGCTAGGAAATGGAAGCCTTTTCACATCACATGGCCTGATTTTGTGAATGAAGATGTGATCTGCTTGAAAGTAAAGAAATAGAGGGGAGTTGCAACACTTGAGAAGGGTGGGGAATAATCGCTGGGGAAACCAGAAGTAGGTGGTGACCTAAGGCAAGTTAAAAGGTTTGCAGAGTTATCATTGAACGCCCAGCAAAACGTGGGAGCTGTTTGTTTTTCGTGGTGCCAGTCTGCACACTGATTATACAGTGAAACCCTGTTTAGTAGTTTGTTTCATTGTCCTTAACTTAAAGTTGAGGGCAGTAAGTGTATACTAGCTTTGACAAGTTCTAGAATTTTCTAAAAGAAGTACAAGCTATACTTGACTATCCTTTCATAATAGCTAAGTAAAATGCTCTTATTTTCCTGTTAAATCATGTGTTTCCTTTATGGGAAATAATGAAATTTTCTTTCTGAGCTTTTAAGATATGTACTACTTGAAATGTATTCATTAGTTCCTTGGCTATTCATGATTTTTATTCCTAAAATCTCTAGGATTCAATCAAGTGTCAGATGTTAAGTTTGTCAAAATATATTGCAGACTGACTAAAGTACACTCCTTCCTTTAGCCATTTAGTTTTCATTAAACACAATTAGTTTTGTTTGGCTTTTTTCTTTCTGATAAAACTTACTCCGTCATTCCCCTATCTCACTGTAACCTTAGCTAAGTCATGTAGCTGGTCAAAGTTTCTATTCCTGAAGTCACAGTTGGCCTGCAAAATCTCTCAGGTTTTGTTAGGTTCTAATCTTCTAAATTGTGCCTGAATTTTGTGCAACAATAAATGTGGTGCCCATTTGGCCACCAGAGGGCACTTTGCGTCCTGCCTTCTATTGCAGTGACATCAACAAGTAACAGCGCTGTATTTCTTTTCTTTTTTTTTTTTTAATTTACACTGTATTTCATTATTTCCCTATGTGTTTTTCTTCATCAATTCACTTTGAATTTTTTCATTTTTCTTTTGCCATGGAATATTTACATAAATTCAGTTATCATGAATATTATAATTGATTTTTAATTAATTAAACTTCAATTAACTTCTGTAGTCTTTTTTTATAATAGCATCAGTCAGATGGTTATCTTTTTTATGCTGTTCCTGCCCGTTGATTTAATTATGTTAACGTTATTAACATTTATTTCAGGTTAGGCATTTATCTTGTTTCTGATAGTTTAAGTAAATAAGCAAATCATTGTAATGAATGAGATACAGTGTGAATTCAATACATAGAAATAACAGGCACTTTAACTCTATTAATGAAAAGTTTCTATAGTTAATCCACCAGAAGCCTGTTATCTTTATGCCTCTTACATGCCCTCCATTTGGCACATTGCAGGCTTTAAAACATGGCCCAGGTGAGTATATGAGGTAGGAGATGAAGCCACCGCTCATGCCATGTCATCTCTGATGGGACAGATCGGTAAGTCTTCAGCTCTTCAGGTCATTGTGTTCTACAGCGGCCTTAATAAACAGACCCAGAGGACCACCATTTAAAAATACTGAATACCAAGGAAGTACCCTCAGAAAGAGAACACCGAAGTATATCTTCTATTTTTTGTGTGAGGGCACCAGGTAGTTTAGTGTTCAGATGTTGTAAAGATAGGAAAATAAAGCAATTAGAACTACGTTTTTGTTTTTGTTTTTTCAAGTCATTAAGCACTGAACAAAGGCACTATGCTGAAACCTTCTTGTTTTACTAATAGGAACAATATGCCAGAATTCCACAAATTGAAAACAAAGTTGGTAAAGAAGAAAGGAACACGGGCATACGCCTGCCAGTGTAGCTGGAGAACTATTGAGGACCTGACTGACCTTCAGACCGATCATCAGCTTCGTTGGGTTTGTGGTAAACACTGAGAATACAGACTCTTCACATTCAGACAGATGCGTCCATGAGAGCAGTCTCCATTAATCACGCAGTATTTGGGTAAAGGTGCACAGCCACATCAGGCCCTTGGTAACAGACAGGGAATTGCATTTAATGGCTGTACGGCTTTTCAAAGACCAGATGGACTTGGGAAGATAATGTGTGTTAACATTTTGGAGTTATTTCTTGTTGCTATATGGACATCTCACTTAGTAAGTAAGATAACACGTTATCCAAGTACTTTGCTAGCCTATCTCCTGTTAAATAGAAGTTTAATTGTGGAGTTTCATACAAATACATAGCCATTCAGTAGCCACTGCAGTATTCCTGACCGCTAATACACTTAGCATAGACGTTCCTCGTCTATAGAAGTTAAAGGGGATAAAGCCGGCTCGTGCAGGGAGGCCCTCTAGGGGTGTGTACATCACCTCCTCTGGTCACATCTGCAGTTATCAAAGGTCATAACTTAAGTATGTCAGAGACCGTGTGGCCAGTGGCTAGTTGAAGGGTTTTGAGAGTATAGGTATATTGTAAATGAAAACACTGCCCATATCTGATCTTACTTCACCAGTTCAGAGTGGTACTATGCATAATGGTATGTATATATTACCAGTTTTAGCTTATTTCTCCTTTTGTTCATTTAGATATCAAAAGTTAATTTAGTTTGCTATTTTAGCAAATATTCATTTATATATAAGAAAAATTTGACACATCTAAAATCACAAGGAAAAGTTCTAATACAGACAGGTCACTGTTGGGTTTTCCACATACGTTCTTTAATGCCCTAAAACTCCATCAAATAAAGTGAACAGCAAGTAAGATACTTTCTGAGTCAGCCTGTGCATTTTTCTGGTAGGATCAGGCTGATACACTATTAGGGGAGTGCATGAAAAGAGAAATAAAGCAAAGCTGAACCAACAAGTAGCCTGCTGGGCTCCTTCTTTGATGTCACCATGACTTGAGGAACCCTGCAATAGCAGCACACTCAGAAAATCAATTGCCTCAAAATGACCAGCTCTCAGCCCCATCAAGAGATTCTCGGGGCTTTCCAGTCTTCCAATCTGCCAGAAGCTCTTTACCACATGTGTCTCATATGTGGTTCAGATGTGTGACAGAAGGCTTGCTGAAAGGGGGTAATTGAAGTGAAGTTATATGATCTGCTTAGTCTTATGCTGAATCTGCTCCAGCCATTTTACTTAAACAAAGAAAGATCTGGTTATTAGAATCCTCCTAACCATGACACATTTGTATAGCCAGTAAGTCTAGAATTCCAACAGACAGGTCTCATTGTGGCAGAAGCTCATATTTTTGTCTTAAGAATATGTTTACAGACCTTAACTTACGATAAAAATTTTTTACTCCCTAAAATTTTATTTCATCTGTAATTGTATCAGGAACATAGGGGAATTTGGATTGAAGTCACCTATTTCAAAAATTAGCAGAGCAACAAGATCCACACATTGAGAACCTCATGGAATTTGGCACATTTAATCATAATGGTGATTTTTTTTTTAGTTTAAATGAGCAAATTTACTAAATTATGGATTTGAAATATTTTCCTCTTTTATTATTTCATCATAATTATTCTGTAACTTGTATGTGTTGTCCATGATTGGCATTCCATAACAGGATAATTGTAATAATTCCCCAATGTCAGAAATGTATAAATGAGTTCACATTTTGTTGGCAATTTACTTTATAAGCTTTTGAATATTGTCCAATTTTTAATCTAAAATGTAGAAAGAATACTATTTCTATACAAATGGATAAACTTTATTACCAGTTGAATTTAAGCCAAAATGCAACTATTTTAGTATCAATGTAGAAGAAAAGTATAGTTGCTAATCAACTATAATTTTAAAATGCAAAATCTGTGCAACTTTTGGGACATTTTGTTGATTTGTTTTCAATATTTATCATTTCTACCTTTAGCAAGTATCTATTTTTTATCAAGCCAGGTAGCTATTTAATTTGAACTGTATTGTACTCAGGCCCTTACCTTGCCTAGAAGTGAATAAATAATAGTTTTACTCTGTATATAGTTACTTTGTTTAATAATAAAATATTCATATGGGGATTAATTTGAAATAATTTTTGGTAATTTGTTTTATTTTTTAACATCTTTATTGTGGTATGATTCGTGTACAGTAAACTGCACATATTTGAGATGAAGAATTCGATGAGTTTTGATAGATGTATACACCAGTGAAACCACCAACACAATCAAGAGAGCTAACATTTCCATCAATCCCCAAGAGGTGCAAATTCTCAATTTACCCTCTTCTACCCCTTTTACTGCCACCATAAATTTGTGCTCTATGTTTGTGAGTGTGTTTCTGTTTTGTAAGTACGTTCATTTGTCTCAGTTTTTTTAGATTCCACAGATAAGCAGTATCTTATGGTATTTTTCTTTCTCTTTCTACTTCACTTAGAATGACCATTTTCAGGTCCATCCATGTTGCTGCAAATGGCATTATTCTACTCTTTTTTATAGCTGAGTAGTATTCCATTGTGTATATACACCACATCTTCTTTATCTGTCAGTGGACATTTGAGTTATTACCATGTCTTGGCTATTGTACATTAATGCTGCTGTGAGTACATTGGAATACATGTGTCTTTTTGAATTATATTTTCCTCCAGGTATATGCCCAGGAGTGGGATTGCTGGATCATATGGTAAGTCTATTTTTAGTTTTACACCATACTGTCCTCCAAGCTAGAAAGAGAAAGAAAAATACCATATGATGTTACTTATATGAAGAATCTTTTTTAAAAAAAAAAGTCACAAATGAACTTATCTACAAAAAGATTCACAGACATAGAGAACAGATTTATGGCTACTGGGGGTAAATGGGGTGGGAAGGGATAATTTGGGAGTTCAAAATTTGCACCTCTTGGGAAGTGATGGAAATCTTAGCTATCTTGATTGTGGTGGTAGTTTAATAGGTATATGCATCCATCAAAATTAATCAATTGTATCAAATTGTACATCTGAAATATGTGTAGTTTACAGGAAGTATACCACAATAAAGGTTTTTTTAATTTAAAAATAAAAAAATTTTAATAAAAAATTTTAAAAAGAAAAAAAGGGTCATTTACAGGAACTCTGAATATTCATGAGTGAGGCCTTTCTTATCAAGGATTTATTCATCACAACAAGTTATTATCAGGAGCCTGAGAGGATTGAGATTCAAACAGATGAGGAAGACTGGGAAAGACTGAGGTGCCAGGCTTTAGTTCTGTTAGAGATCAATACCAGAGGAGAGGCAAGAAGGCTGGACTCATAAGATAGTTTTACCATTATTCTTATTTACAGATGAGGAAACAGACAAACAGACACAAAGAACTCGCCCAGAGTCCCACAGGTTGTAAACAGTGGAGTCGGAGTCAGACCTAGAGCTACTTGACCCTGCACCTGTGTGTAAAGGGGAAGCAGAAGCTCAACAGCGGTTGAGCAACCCTGGTTGGGTGTTCCCCAGCAGAGCTCTGCTAGCCTGCCTGATAAATGCGCTGGGCCGTGAGAGTATACAGCCCCAACTTTACAAGAATAATATTTTCGGATATTTTCTGTGACTTTGTTTAGAGGAAGCAAGATACAGTGCCTGTCTGTAGCAGGGTTTCGGGTTGTCTTGCAATGTTGAAGGACAGGTGGCAGCTTCCAGGAACAACGTGAGGAGGAGGCCAGGCTAGAAGCAGCAGGAAAGAGTCCCAGAATCCATTAGTCAGGTCTTCCATGGGCTCACGGATGAGGAAAGGGAGGCTACTCTGAATTTGATAACCCTGGGAAGGAGTTGGGACCTGGGTTCTTGTCCAGCTCAGTGGTTCTCAACTCTGGCTTCAGATTGAATTGTCTGGGGAGCTTCAAAAAGTGTCAGTGCCCACGCCCCAGGCCTAGAAATTCTGATTAATTTGTGTTAAGTGGTGCCCAACCATCAGTGGTTTTAAAAGACTCTCCCAGTCATTTCAGTGTGCAGCCAGGGTTGATAATCTTGTAGTCATATGACGTTGGGCATGTCACATTACTCTTTCGAAGGAATCATCAATATCCTCACTTGTTTAAAATATATATATATATATATATTTGCTAGGAGCCCTCACTGCCAACATAAAAATACGAGGTTAGACTAAGTGATTTTTAATGTCCTTTCCAGGATTAAACTTTCATGGATCTCTTTCATGATGTCATCGTTTTAAAGTAATTATTTCATTTAGGGTCAGAGTGTATTGTCATCAGTGTTTCTCTTAGTACCAGAAACAGCATGGGGTCAACGCTGAGTTCATGTTTGAGTCCCATAATCACTCACTCACGTTACATAGAACAGCAGCCTCCAGGTGTGGACAGTGCAGGTCCTTCCCTGCTAGAAGCAGCGTCTCAGAGATGCGGCCCTGTAGAAAGTGAGTCACGGGCATCACGGGTTTCTCCTTCAGCAGTCTTCATTTTGCCTTAAACATGTTTTAATACCACAAAGCTTTGTCTTACAGCAAGAGACCCAAAGTGGCCCATTTAAAGGGCTCTTCAAAGCACAGGCACGTTTCACCCAAAGTGCCCACCTGCACTGTGCCAAGTTTGTGGCAACAGCTCGCAGAGGTGCTAGTTTTCAGACAGGAATAGAGTTGGTAACACATGGGTCATTTCCTAAGGAATCGTCACAATTGGTTAGGTGTCTTGACTCTGGTCAACACCAAACATCACAATACAGACATCTCCAGGCAGAGCTGGTACAGTTAGGCAATTTCACAACCTAGGGAAATTCATCACTGGACATCCCCAGTTTACTCATCATTGATTCTAATGTGACCAAAATGGAAACTAACCCATGTGTCAGTTCTTGTGTTAGAAACATACACTGCTCCCAGGGAGGGAGAAAGGAAAGCACTTGGCTTAAAATTCCTCTTTCATAGTCTAAAATTCTTGCTGCAATTTCGAGTCAGCTGTCTAGCATCAAGTCACAGTCTGCGCCCAATACCAGCCATCCCTGAGACCTGAGGGACCAGCAAAGGGAGGAGGTGCTGAAGAAGCCTTCACGTGGCTACAGCTAGTCACAGTGGAGAAGACAGGGACAAATTTTGCTCCAGGGACTTGAGGATTTAAAAGTCCCATCTTTCACGTACAGCTGACTTAGTGAAACTGGTAAATTAAGAATCTAGCCCATAGGGGGCAGACCTGCACTGGGGACCAGATCTCATTTCTTTGCTGGGCTTTGGTTTCCGGGAAAAGCACCCAGAAGAACGCTCCTAAACATCATGCATTCCACTTTTCACCAAAATCCGCCTGCTGCTGTTAGAGATATCTCGTAGGAGTGGAGTTAAATGTTTTTCTTTGGCTGGAAATAGAAATCCTCCCTAGTCTAAACCACCTTTGTTCGTAGTGTTCTTAGGAGAAAAGGGTCGGCACCAAACGCTAGGTCAGGCTTACCAAGGAGGTTCCACAGCCCTCTCTACACGGACGCACGTGTCGTCTGGAGTTTGTGGCCCCACCTGAGGAAGAAAAGTGGAACGTTTTAACTGATTCACTTCAAAAATCAACTCCTTAAGCACGTCAAGGAATACAAGTGGATAAAAAGTCAAAGAGGAGCCATTTCATGGCGAAAGATGGGAAGTCAAGGTGCCGCGTTTGGCAGGGGTGATGAGGAAACTGCTGGGGGTGGGGTGAGTTTGTGCTGACAGGCTTTCTGAGACCGGGGAACCGTATCTTCCTGACCTTTAAACATGATTGTTCAGCACAAATAGTCCCAGAGTACAGTGATTTGGGTTTTTTTTTTAATATACAGAAAGGCAAAAAAGAAAATAAAAAATTATTTCACATTCTCACTTTTTTGTGCATTGAAATACGATATATAAAAATGCAGTAATCTCTCCGCTATCCCAAAAGGTAAACACTGTTCATTTGATGCCCATCCTTCTGGACTTCTGGATGGATGGATGGCTGGGTGATAGAGATATTTCCTGACTCTTTTTTTTAACAAAAATGGAGGCCTGGTATATAGATATACCTGGTGTATAGATACAGATATATTATTTCTGCTATTTGCTCTTTTTACCAAAGCGTATATCATGGACATCTATACATAGATTTTTCTCATTCATAATAGCTCCATGGTATTCCATGGTATGGATGTTCCAAGATTTATTTAACTATTTTTCTATTTATGGCAATATCTGTTTCAATATTTTTCTGTTAATGCTTCAGGGAATATCTTTGTACAGATACACACTTGCTAGTTTCTCCTACAGGTTATTAAAAGTGGGATTTCTGGTCAGATTCTGCATTTCTAAGAAGCTTTCAAGTGATGCCTTTAGTGCTGGTCTATGGACCATACTTTAAGCAGCCATCATAACAAGTCCAGCTGTCTGAGATACATCCACATGCCAGAGAGGCCATGTGTAGACACTCTAGTTGATAGTGCCAATGGAGCCCAGCCTTTCCTATTGAGTGAAGTTATCTTAGACCCTCCAGACCAGCCCATCTGCCATCTAAATACTAGCAAGTGACAGAGTTGATGTGGAGCAAACGAATTGCCCGGGCAAGGATTGTCTGAATTCATGGTCCACAAAGTTGTGAGATAAAATGGTAGTGGTTTTTTAAAAAAAAAAATCAGGATTGCTTGATGAAATTAGCACATTTTTAATTTAGTTGATATTGTCAAATTACCCTTTTTACAAGATTGTAATTTATATTAGTACAAACGATGGATGAGAGTGACTGTTTTCTTCCCTAAAGTAATGGGAGGAAGAGTCTGTATTTGTTGATCATTATTGGCTTTTTAAAATATATTTTCTTATGAAATATTTCAAACATACAGGAAAGTTCAGAGAACAGGATAAAGTATTGGTTCATACATATTTTTATCACTTCTTGAATCAAATTTAATAACTATTTTTCTCCAGAAAATTGTCCACTTCAGCTAAGTTGTTAAACTAAGATTTTAACACAGATATGTCTAACTTCAAAGCCCAAACTCCTTTCATTTACCAACTTTTCCCTTCTCATAGAGTGTAATTCAAATTGTAGGTAAATAGTAGTGGAAGTCTCAGACTTTGGGCCATACTGTCTGAGTAGCTTCTAAAGATCACAGAACTAAGAAGGAAAAGAAAAAGAAACATCCGGCTGGTCCTCCGGCTCTCGCCTTCCCACAGCCTTTGCTTTGGCACCACCAGAGGCTGCAACAGGCGAGATGTAAGCCATAACCTTGAAATCAGCAGATTTCTTCTACCAGGGGCTTCATGGGAAAAGAGGACAGGACATGGGGCAGGGAGGTTCCTGTTGGCAAGATTGAGAACGGGAGGTGGTCAGGGAGAAAAGCAGAAATGAATCTAAGAAATGCGAAGTATGAGAAGCCAACCAAAGTCATATTCCAAAAAGAAATAGATGTGTAAGTTACAACCGCCAGGGCAAAGACTTCAGGCAGTCCAGTCCCAGCCGCCGGGTGACAGGAACACAGAGCTCCCAGTGCAGAAGTCCGGGCACCCGACAGCCAGCGTGCGCTCCTCACCTGGGGCAGGTGATACAGGTGGACTCAGAGCCCCGTGCTCAGGACACCAGAGGACAGCTGAGTCAATTCTTCAGGTGCTATTCCAATTCCCCGCTGGCTGCCTGGGCAACCATGAGCCCAGCACCCACAGAGGAGGGCTCCCCACAGAGCCCCCGGGGACAGGGGCCTCCACGCGCTCAGTCCCAGTCAGTCAGAAAACGAAGGCCCAAAACGGTGTCACACCAATACTGCTGTCGTTTGAACTACTACACTGAGCAAATTACTATATTAACCCGAAAAGTGCAAGCCATATAGTAATTACAGAATGTAATGATGTATATATTGTATGTAATATGGAATCTGTATGTCTGTATTTTCCCTTTTACAGTGCATCATAGGCAGTAGGCTCTCCAGAGCTTCTGTCGTATCTTTACCCGCCCCCCCAACTCTCTTCACCCCTCTGTGAACAGCTGCTGCTGCTCTTGCCCCACCTTAAGAGCTGAATGCCAGGAGCTGCCAGTTTTAAGTGATGGGATGGACAACTTTCAGTGCTGTCACTGCTTCTCTGTCCTGTATTTATTGTCTCATTGGCTGTAATACCAAAATCTAAAGCTGAGCCCTTGGTGAATGTTCCCACTGGGCCTCTTGTCTTCCTGCCCCTCAACAGAGCCCATGCCTGAGGGCTGCGCCCACCCTCATGCCCCACAGACCAGCCTGGATTCTCCACCATCACCCGTGTTAGGTCATTGTGAAATGCTGCCCATCCCACCCCCTGACCACTGACAAGCACAGCAACTGCCACCACTGTGCTCCTAGGGCAAGGGCCTTCCTGCTTCCCACAGTGGTGAGGAGCAGCAGCCTTTCCAGGGGCACGGTCACTGGCACAGGTCCTCAGCTCTGCAGAGCTCCACTGGCCAGTGGTGGAGCGTGCTGCATCGGGAGGGCATTAGAGGGCCTGCAGGGAGCTCCCGAGGGTGCAGGGTGAGCGGGGCAGGAAGCAGGTCAACTGCACAGTCAGCTAATTTGTCACCTGCTCATCCACAACTTCAACGAGCAACATTTAAACACAGGAAGGAACTGCAAATGCCCTCACTAGATGCTCTGACACCCTGGCACCCTTCAGTGTTTAAGCTTGGCATATCCTCAAGGTACACGTGTGGTTCCCTGATTACAGCTGAAGTCTTTTCTGAATAGGGGCCGGACGTTAGCACAGAGGATACAGCATCTTAGAATAAGAGCATCAGAACTGGAAGGGACTTCGGACTAGATCATTAATCCAGCCCCTTTGTTTTATAGATGAGGCAACAGGCATGGAAAGTTGAAGGGACAGGCCTACGTACAGACACACAGGTAGTGGGGGTCAGGAGCTTTTTTAGATAAAAGAAGTCTTGGAAATTATCAAGCCAAGCCAGGGACAGGTGGGCCCCTGGGAAAGAGTACCTTTGATGCCCCTCCTCTCCTTTCGGCCTGCCTGACTCCTCTCCCTCTCACCTTGTCAGGTGTGTGATCTGCCCAGGCCAGACCTCTCCAGATTGTCCCCTGATTCTTCATCGCTTTTTCTACCTCCCCTTCCTCAACCAGGACAAACTACTCCTGCCCAGTATATCAGGGCCTCCCCCAATGAAACCAGCTCCCCCAGTTGAAAGATGAGCTAACAAATAAATGCCCCTGACCCGAGCTGTCAGGAGCTAGTAAGTGCTTCCAGTGGTTCTGCACCCTCATGGACATTCTTTTTTTAACTTAATTTTTGAAAAGGCAATACATTCATATGGCTTAAAATTCAACCAGTGTTAAAGTTCTCATTCCTACACCTGCCTGCTTTGCATTGAGCCAAGTCCCATCCCAGCTTTCTGCAGGCAACCATTTGTATTGGTTTCTTGTGTGTCTTTTCAGAGTATCTTTATACTCATATAAGCAGATACAGATATATATTTACATAGGCTTCCTAAGAGGCCTCATAACTGTAAGCCAAAGGGATCTTGCTCACAGTAGAACTTGAGACACTCTGAATACCTCATCGAGCAACAGGGCTTTCCCAGGGCCTCTTTTGTCATGACTTATAAGTGGCTTCTTTCTTGTAGCTGAAGCTCCCCACTCTAAAGAAAATGGGTTCCAGTGGGACTCTGTAACAAGATCAGAAAAGAACCCCAGAAAGAACCCCAACCCACTGCCCCATTCCCAGGTCTGAAAGCACGAAGGTGAGCCTGGAGAAGCTCTGAGACCTCCCTCTTTGCTTCCTGATTCATCTCTTGTGGACCAGGCACTAAGCCAGGCCCTGGAGACACATAGTCCCTGGGCTCAAGGCAAAAGGCCACTTAGACCAAGGCTAAGGTTTCGATTATTTCAGTTGCAGCTGACAGAAAATCCAACCTAAACAGGTCTGTGTTTAAGAAGGAAATTGATTAGCTCCCATAACAAATGTGCACAGATCGAGGTGGCTTTAGGTGCAGCTTGATTCAGAGCTTCAGCAGTGCCACCAGGAAACATCTCGGCTCTGCTCCCTCCGGCCTGGTTCCATTGTCACTCATGGGGGTCCAAACAAACCCAGTTCATATCCAGGAAGTGAGTCGGTGATCCCCGAAACCCAACTATCCAGGGCTTGAGTGTCCTTAGCCCTGATTGGCTTAATTTTATCACCTGCCCACTCCTGAACCAATCACTGAAGCCCACAGGAAAGACACACTGCACTGATCTGTCTAGCCTAGGTCACATGTTCCACTCTCAGCACTCAGGGGTGGGGATCAACTTTACCCAAAGCACATAGGTGGAGAGTGAAGGAGGGGTGGGACCCCAAAATAAAACAAGGGTAGTGTAGCCATACAAAATAGGGGCCTGGGCCACAAAAATAGGGAGTATCTACTCCATCCGTGTGACTACAGGCACAGTGAATATTTCCAAGGGGAACTGCAGGGTGCCCCGGGGGGCCTGCCTCAGGGTCAGGCATCAGGGACGAGTTGCCTAGGGAAGAAGCAGGCCTCAGCTAAGTAAAGTTTGTGGGTTTATATTCATGGAAGGGAAGCAAGCCCTTTCCTGGAACTTGAAGATCTACAATATGACTGGAGCTCAGAGAGCAGGAGTGGGGAGTGACTGAGACCAGATGGGAAAGGGGCCCATAGGATGGATGTGCCACCTTTAACCCGAGCCGGGGTCCACTGCCCAGCTCCACACATGAGGCACTCCCTGTGCTCAGGCCCGGCACCCTGCACAGCAGTCGGAAACCCAGTGCTGTGTGAGTATGAACATAACTCTGACCAGGTCGCTTCCCTTAAAACACAGACTCTCACATTCAGCATGGCCTTCAAGCCCCTGCCCACTCTCCAGCCTCCTGTCTCTCCCACTGCTGGCTTCTCCCTGCACTGCTGGAACCACACCACCAATTCAGCAGAGTATTCGGAGGGCAATCCAGCCCAGCAGGGGGACCAGCTGAGAGCCTGTCAGGACCTGGCCTCGCTCTACTCACCAAGGCTTCTTCTCCGCTGGTCACCCGCCTTGGGAACTGAGGCCCAGACAGGGGCTGTCACAGGGCCTGGAGTCCAGAACAAACCCGGGGAGTGAGCAGTGACCTTCCAGGGCGAGGAGAGGACCACAGAGCAAGGGCCACAGGACCAAAACGGATGGTCCTGAGTGCTCTCCGGGTTCTGAAAACTGCTGACAGCTGCTCCAGGCTCCAGCTTTGAACTCCTGGGGAAATTTTCCATGACTTCTTTGACAGGAGCCTCAGGGAATGGAACTTCCTCAGCGTCTCATATAGAGGAAGGTGGAGAAAGCGAGACAAGAGAGCCTCAGACCTATACTTAGTGGCGGGTACCTTTTCCCTTAGGTTCTGGGCAGAATTTTTTCCCCACTTCCCCTCTGGTTTCTGGTCTTCCTGCCAGTTTACATAGGTGTTTTTCATTATAAGCTGCCTCTATTACATTCTGGAAATAGATTAATAAATAAATGAAAGAAGAATATGAAAGCAGGTTTTTTTAATTCCACAGAGATGCCATAGTTGTAAAATAATTTGCAATAGGTCGACTCCAGGTCCTCCCTTGTTTTAAAGTACTTCCTTATCTCCTGTCTATGCTGTCAAAGTGGAGTCAGAGCCACCACTGGTGGACAGTCAGCTTCCTCTATTTAATCAGTTGCTCATTAATGCAAAATACACAATTTCCTCCTGACAGCCCGACAAGTGTAACCACAGCTGCAAACACACATCTGTGTTTAGCTAACAGACCAGCCAGGCTCACGCCAATCATCTCTTTTATGCAAGACCAAAAAAGTGCACACAGCCTCACAGGGGCTCCAATGTCCTCTTGAATGTGGTTTATGTGCATTAATTGCCATCTGCATTTTCTCATTCATCGGCTCGAAAATTACACTCCTCCGGATCTGCTCATAGCATCTGACCTTAGAGCTCACCCAGTGCAACCCCAAGTGGCAGCATCTCCACTCCAGCGCCAGACTCTCCCAGAACCCTACTCCTCCTTCAGTTTCACGCAATTTAGTAAATCACAACTTTACATTTCTCGACGTTAGAACTTACGTGGAGCCCACACTGAGCTTCTTGTTGGCTGACGCTAGGGCTGTCAGAAACCTGGGGAAGTCCTGCCACCCGAGAGGAGACCTGCGCAGGACTCAGCCCCGGCAATGCTGGGACCCCTCAGCGGGGCTACTGGCCCTGTTCCTCGGTGCATCTGCCCATTTTCCTCTTTTCTCCAGAGTATTTCAGGGCACTTAATGGAGATGGCTCTTTGAAGCGGGCCTTGACCTGTATGCAAGGCCACTGTATCTCCCTCCTCCTCCCCACTGGGGTGCGCAGAGGTGTGGCAGAGAGGGTGCTCCCGGCCCTTCATTGGGCCTCCCTCCGGGGCAGGCACTCCTCACTCCAACCAGCCAGGGCTTCCGGGCATCTGCTAAACCCTTTCCCAGCAGAGAAACTGAGTCCCATACCTGACAGCCTGACAGCCACCATCCCCCACCCAGAGGGAAGGCCTGTCTAAAGCAACCACCTGTCTTGCTAAGCCCCATACCACTTAAAATCACCTAAAAATCTTCTTTAAAACAAGCCCTGGCTGACTAACCTCTCACACCCCAAGCAGCCTTGGAGGCATTTTGCTAGATAAAGGTCATCCACTCCTGAGACAACGCCTCTGTCCTTTCCCTCTCCCACCGTGACGGCTCCCGCAGTCATTCGGGGCTGCATGTCAGAAATTTCCTCCTCTGTTTCGGCAAGGCTGCTCCGACAAGAGTGAGCCGCTGGCCTGGAGCCGCGGGGAGGCTGGAGGGGCCGGCCGGCCGGGCCTGGCCCTGCGAGGGTGGGGAGAAAACCTCCCACCGCCGGCTCACACCTGGTCCTGGGGGGGGGGGTGCAGGGGGCTCCCTGGGGAGCTCCTTAGAAATGCAGGCTCCCCTGCAAGCCTGCTGGATCTGAGTCTGCACTTTATAGACCCTTGAGCGATTCTGATTGGAATGTGAAAATCTGAGAAGCACTGGAGTCTGTAGGGCTTCCCAGATTGATCAGATCAGAGTGAGTCTCCCCCGCAGCTACTGTTAATAATAAACGCCAGGTCTGAAGGTCTTCATTGTGCAAAGTAAAAACGCACAACTTCATTTACTTACTGAATTCTGGGAGCAACTCTGGGAGGCTGGTATTGTTATCCCCATCTCACAGATGAAGGAACTAGACTCAAAGAGGTTACACCACTTGCCCCAGGTTACAAACTCAAGGCGCTAGGACTTCACCCAGGGCTGCTTTTCCTCTAAATCTGCCACCTGATGCAGGAATTCTGCGCTTTAGGGGCTGCACCTTAAACAAAGCCCCAAGGAGAAAACGTCCCCACTGTAAATCCCAGCTGGAACTCACTTTAGGAATCTGGGCTGAGGCGCCTTGGGGCCTCCCTGAAAGGTTAGGAGGAATGGGAAGGGCTGGGCGGGGCCACCAGCTGCTCCCATGAAACAGCTGGGCACAAAGTCCCAGCAGCCTGCGGGTCCAGGCCTGTCCTTTAGCGGCAAGCTTCCCCGCCCTCGGACAAAACAGAGCCCTTTGGGCCTGGGCCTGACTCAGCAGTTCCGGGGCAGGGGCGGGGGTGGGGTGGGGATGGGCCAATCACCACTGACCCCCTTGCTCCTTCCAGTCTTCTAGAAACTCCCTTGCCTGCAGCTTCACTCAGTTCCAGCCCCTAGCTCCTGGACCTCTGTCCAGAAATGTGATTTACAGCCACCCTCTCCAAATCTAGTGCAGCCAGACAGTTCTACAAACATTAACTGAGCATAGATTATGCACCCAGTAACTATACAGGATGCTTTTGCATACTTCATCTCATTTTATCCTTGGCCTATGGAGATAGGAACTGTCATTCCCATTGCACAGTTATGAAAACAGAGGCCACTGGGTGATGGAGCTAGGATCTGTTGACTGAAAAAAAAAAACACACACAACATGAGAGTTGCGAGTTAAGTTTTATTTGGGAGAAAATGAGGCCTAAGCCCAGAAGACGGCATCTCAGCCCCAAGAACTGCCCCAAAGCGGGGCGGGGGGGGGGCGCGGTCCAGTATGTATGTGATTTTGGTGGGTTGGGGTCCATGCAATCTGGTGCATGTTTTGGCAGAAGGTTGCTGCTGGTCACAAGGAGCAGATGTTGCTGTTAATGATTTTAGTGCTTTTCTAGATATGAGAAGATGCAAGAAATGGGGCTCATAAAACCTTCTCCTGAAAATATCTAACTGTCTGAAGGCCTGTTCTGCCAGTTTCTCCCAGAGCCCTGAGCGCCTCATTCCTGATCTCCAGCCTGAGCTCCTGTCAGGGTGTGTTGGAGGTCAGTGACTGGGCAGTGGCTTCATCCTTGTAGAGGCAGGTGGCAAGCGCCAATTTTTAGCTGGCATGTTTAAACCCAGTCTTAACTCCAGATCCAGTACTTCTTGCCCAAGAGCTGCATTCTTCATAGATTTCGTGGAGGACTTATCCTATTACTTGATAATTACTTAACCGCCAGTGCATGCACCTCTTCCAGTGGGCATACACCTCCAGGGGTCACCATCTCACTCACTCTTGCCTTCCAATGTGAAGGAGAAGCCGGGCTGGGCTAACAAGCTAAGTCACAAATCTAAGTGGAACAAGCGTCGGATTGCTGATCTGAGCTCTGCTGGGCTAACTCGTAAATCTAAGTTAATTAGTGTTGGTTTGCTGATTCCCTGTTCATGTTTTTTTTGCTAGCCAGCTGCATTTTCAAAGAGACATATCTGGCCTTGAAATGTTGGTTTGCTGCCTGCCCGCCTCCACTTTTGTGATAATGATGCTGCTAAAGCTGTTCCATGCCTATTGGCTAAATACCCCAAACTTGTAACTAACCCTATAAAACCACATGCACAAGTCTTGGAGGTGCTCAGAGCTTCAGAGCAGAAGCCCCTCTGAGCCTGCCGGTGTAATAAATCTGAGTACTCCAGCCCTCCGAGTGGTGCTTGTTCCTTGGCTGGCCTATCATTTCCTTAACACCAATGCTTGCATCACCGTGCCCAGAACAGACTAGGAAGGAATACATGCGGAATAGACTATGTTGAACTGAAGTAGTCAGTAACTGTTACCAAGCAAAATACTGTGTGCCAGACCTTGTGTGAGGAGCAAGGGCTACAAAAATGAAAAGGAAGTGGTGGGATGGGGTGGGGGAAGGGAACCTGCATTCGACACACAAACACTGTGGTAGAGATAGGTACTTTCAAGAACGGGAAGGATGCTCCAAGGAAGGAGGAAGCCTGGGGAAGGAGCCCTGGAGCCCTGGGAAGGGGTGGGGGAGACCCCATGGCTGACACAGAGCCTGAGCAAGACGGCACACGAAGAGAGAAATCTGCCACAAGAAGGTTGGGCCATTTCAGGAAGAGAAGCGCAGAGGCTGACGCAGGGATGTTTGGAAGAGCCTGGTTTGGCCAGGGTTGCAGGGAAATAATCAACAGCACTCTGGAGGGAATGGGTCTTCGAAGGGGTCCCCCATAAACTGGATTCCTCCTACCCAATACTACAGGCCTCCGCTTCCTCTGAAGCAAAGCCCACCCTACTCGGCCAACACCGGCCAACAGCGCCAAATGCATGTTTCTGCAGGATGGGAGGGGGAAACCTGGCTGACAGGGCTGGGTTTCTCCCCCCAGCCCCAGGAGAAGCAGGGAGGGGCTGCTTCTTCCATACTGTCCTCTGGGGGAGTCTGAGATTCCTTCCAGTCTGTAGAAACAAAAGAATTGGGCATAGCCTCCACCCCCTCACCTCTGCAGTGTTCAGAGAGGCTACTCTGGCCAAGTGCTGCAGGGGTGAAAGGGGCAGAAGGCTGGACAGGCAGCCAGGCCTGTGCACCGTGCAGGGGGAAAGCTGTCCTCCCCAAGGTGCCAGGGAGCCACTGAAGAAGGGTGAGCAGGCGGGGACAGCCCCGGGGAGGCACCCTGGGCACTGTGGGTGAGGAGAGGGGAGAGGAGAATGTGGCTGAGAGGTTAACCCGTCAGGGGCCACCCCAGGAACCTGGCCAGAGCCTCGAGGATGGAAAAAAAGCAAGGGGGATGGAGAGGTGTTTAGGAGAGGACACGCAGGGTGGGATGATTAACTGAGTGTCACAGATGAAAGGAAAGAGGGAGCCGAGCTGCACTCCAGGCTCTGGAGACCGGGAGAGCAGGAGGGAGGGAGGGCAGAAGGGGAGGAGCTCACTCTAGGACGTGTGGGGTTGGGGATCCTGGGTATTGGAAGCCAAGGTACCCAGAAGCTGTGGATGTCAGGGGAGAACACTGGCCAGGAGAGAGGGATCAGGAGTCAGCTGACAAGAAGGCAGCCCTCCCAGGCAACAGAAGCCCAGAGTGAAGAAGAACGTGACAGTGAGTCACCCAGACTGGCTTTCTCTGCCTTGGGCTCTTCCCACTCCTGGGGAACTGCGGCCCCTCTCAAACATGTCCCAGGGAGCTGGGCACACCCCTGGCGTGTGTAGCGGGGCGGGGCGGGAAGTATTACAAGAATTTACTTGGAATAGACCTAGAACTCTTGAACTAGACTCTGCTGCCATGTGGTGGCCATGGTTCCCCGCTCCCTGCTCCTGCTCAATGGGGAACAACCACTCTGAGCCATGCCTGGGTCCCAATGCCCACCCAAGAGCTATGGCTCCAGCTCTGACCCACTGGGACCAGGGCCCACCAGCAAGGGCACTGACGTGTCTGCACTGAAAGGAATAAATGTTCAATAAGCAGGTGAAGTATGACAACTCTTAGAAGTGGCTTCTCATAAAAAAGAATGAAATAATGCCATTTGCAGCAACATAGATGAACCAGAGATTGTCGTACTAAGTGAAGTCAGACAGAGAAAGATAAATATCATATGATATCATTTATGTGGAATCTAAAAAAATGACACAAACGAACTTATTTACAAATTGAAACAGACCCACAGACATAGAAAACAAAGTTATGGTTACTGGGG